TCAAATTTAAGAAACAATCCACTGTTAGAAAGCTGAATGGCTACGCTTTAAAATGAATGTAAACTTTAACGTTTTCGTCTATTATTTGTTTAGCAATTTACATTTCAGTCGAGGATTGCGCTTTTTTTTATACACCCTGTAGTTTCACCTCAGTCCTATGTGAGAAGAGTGCTTCCAGTTCCAGTTTGACTCTTCATATACAGACACTACAGGTTTTCATCGCTTTCCTCCTGTAGTAACACTCCCCTAGGAAGATTATTCGTTCTTATGTTTCAAGTTCTTAAAATTCGTAACTTTTTCTTTCAAGTGTTGCAGGAAATAAATCCAAAGATGGCGTCTTGTTGACCTTAGATGCTATTAAAGCTAGCGTCAGGTTTAGAAAATCTATAGCCGATGGATGGCTGAAGGTACAAGTTTCTCCTGAACACAAACGCTAAGAAATTCAAACGCTAAGAAATTCAAATCAGAAACGCTAAGAAATTCAATTCTAAGAGATTCAAACTTTGAACATCGTGATATATAACTTACAAGTCACGATTCAACATGGAGTATTTTGTGTTTTACAGAGCTTGGATAATGTTAAGAATTCGTCAGAACATTTGGTGATAGATGTTTTCGCAGTTCTTATACTGTATGCTGTGACCAGCAAGAGAAAACCTGTTGAAAGTTTACTGCGAAACAAAATACGCAGCGGCTGTTTTACTGAAGATGTTCTGAGTATGGCGTTTAAATCTTATGGACAGGTTTGGTGACGCTGCTTCTTGTCTTTCTTTGTGGTAAAGGTTTTTTCAATTCAAAGCCCTGGTCAAACGAGAGTTGATGAGAGTTGAGAAGCGAGAGTTTGCATGAGAGTTTTCTCAACTCTCATGCCCTGGTCAAACGAGAACAAGAGTTGCATAAGAGTTGATGAGAGTTGAGAAGCGAGAGTTTGCATGAGAGTTTTCTCAACTCTCATGCCCTGGTCAAACGAGAACAAGAGTTGCATAAGAGTTGATGAGAGTTGAGAAGCGAGAGTTTGCATGAGAGTTTTCTCAACTCTCATGCCCTGGTCAAACGAGAACAAGAGTTGCATAAGAGTTGATGAGAGTTGAGAAGCGAGAGTTTGCATGAGAGTTTTCTCAACTCTCATGCCCTGGTCAAACGAGAACAAGAGTTGCATAAGAGTTGATGAGAGTTGAGAAGCGAGAGTTTGCATGAGAGTTTTCTCAACTCTCATGCCCTGGTCAAACGAGAACAAGAGTTGCATAAGAGTTGATGAGAGTTGAGAAGCGAGAGTTTGCATGAGAGTTTTCTCAACTCTCATGCCCTGGTCAAACGAGAACAAGAGTTGCATAAGAGTTGATGAGAGTTGAGAAGCGAGAGTTTGCATGAGAGTTTTCTCAACTCTCATGCCCTGGTCAAACGAGAACAAGAGTTGCATAAGAGTTGATGAGAGTTGAGAAGCGAGAGTTTGCATGAGAGTTTTCTCAACTC